TGTATGTCATGTAGCTGCGGAATATAATTCTTACATACATATATTCTTTACAGTGCTCAGAAAATATAATCATAAGTTAATTTAGAGACATTATGAACATTATAATTGATATTCATTAGTCGACTAAAACAAGTAAAACCTCATTTAAAAAACTTGTTTATTTCTTTCTGTATGTTAATCACTTTAACAGATTTTCGGAGTAAAAGTATTCTGTGTGGTACCTTCTCTATATATTATATTTCATTAAAATTGATCCAGTCATTTCAGCGTCTTTGACTAACATATTTATAAATTTTCACATTTCTAATATTATAGCAGGTTAAGTATTCCACACTATTGGTAATAATCAAATTACTGTCTAGAATTATTTCAATAGTGTTTATTTTTTAAAATAAAATGTATTCTAGAATTTTCTCAAAATGTTCTATATAAATAACTCTTATTTAATTTCTTTATTAATTTAATGAATTATATAATAAAATATGTAAATGCTTTCAACACAAAAATAAACAAAACAAACTCAATAACACCCTTAGTTTGTTCGCGCGAGCTTGTAGCTCTAGGGAGGTCAGTTAATTTCATTGTCAGTAGGTACATATAAAATGGGAATAAACTTCTATATTAAATATTTATTATTAGAATTTCAGAAATTATATTATTAGTAAATTTCGTGTTCTTTCTTAATTCATTAATATTCTTTTATTAGACTTGCCTTGAAGTAGCAATGGAAGACAATAGCAAACTTCAAAATAAACATATTTTCATGTAACGTATCCTGTATTTTAATTCGTTAGTTGAATAATGTTATTTCGGTGTTCTTACACCGAAATATGTGTTCTTTTTTTAACTCAACTGCAAGTGTTTCTAAATAATAATAAATATATGTATATCTGTCTAACCTTCACCTATTATAAATATTAAAATTATCTAAATTATATTCATATAAAATTAAATTTACATACATACAACATGTGCTTCTTATTTTTTATGAAAAATAAATCACGTACTAATTTGAATGGTTATTAAGAATGAGCAATTTTATATAAACTTTTACCCACGTTACCTGCATACCCTATAATTTCCCTGCCACATCTCATACTCCAAACAAGAACACAGATTGCAAAATAATCAGCTTAGCGGCAGAAATTTGTGAGACCGAGGTACGCAATTGTAATAGTGAAATAGTATAAACTTATCTAATTTCGTGCAATTTAATGACAGTCGTATTGCAGTACGATACGACATTTAACACAGCTAAGTAAAATACACAAGTCAAGTGCTTTCTGCTACAGTCACACTGTGATCTTAGAACTCGAATAGCGGAACTTTGAAAACAAATAGTGTTACACCAAGAAGACGATTACCTACCTCAGAAAATATATATTAACAATTTGAACTTTTTAATTAAAGTGCAACTTGTTTTTTTTGTGACAGTTGACAGGGTATACCAGTTATATTTCTTTAAAATGTGGGTATGTAGCAAAATCAGTAGTCTGATTAAAGAATTGAAACAAACTAAATATATATGTCATTTTTATAATAACTTTACCGACGGGGATTTTCATACTCTCCTCGATATTTATTGTGGTTCATTTTAATTGAGTGATGAGAAAATATGTGATTGTTATATATGTATATAAAACGTTCATCTATGCATTGGGAAACAGACAAGATTGATAAAATCAAAATAGATAAAATATAGATATTCCAAATTAAACATCCTGGTCCTATAGTCATAATATAAGTCTAATAAATACAAAATAAGTGTAAAGTAAATACAAAGTCAGTATGATTTCATAATAAATGTTGTTTCAATTGTTTCAGTTCAGATGTTATGAATATGTCGCAATATCGCAATAAAATTTTATGATTTGTGTGTATGTAATACAATTATTAAAATACACATAAAATATTGGTTATGCGGATTTCAATAAAAAAGCTACAGATTTAGCTAAACTGTCGTATAGATATTTCAGTTAAGATTCAGTTAATCGTAAAAAACATTATTTTTTTGGGGTAATATAGAAAAGTTTAATATCACTTTTATTAAAATTAAGGTATAAATATTAAGAGCAGCGATCATCATTAGGTAACGAATAAGTTTCACCTACTTACTATATGAAATTTACAGTTAGTATACATATACTAGAAATACCCAACCAACTAACCAAACAAATAACATAAGAAAATATTATAAGTCCGCGGATATAAAAAAGTATAGTATCACTTTTAACCATTATTTACATTAAGGTATAAATTATAAGGCAATGGTTAAAAATTTATTACAGGTAACGAATACGTTTTACCTACTTACGACATGAAATTTACAGTTAGTATACATAATAATGTACTAGTCAAACCTATATTCTGTTTTATTGTGATATATACAAAATCCAAGAAAATATTATAAGCCCGCTCGAATTCCTCTGTATATTTTTATGTGGGTAAAAATAATAACAACCCTCGGTGCAAATGAGCCTAAGGATTATTTGGTTTTTCTAATTTTAGAATTAGTTACAACGCAGAATTATTTTGTTCAGGTGCCTAATTCTTTAGTAGTATATATTTTCTTGAATTTTTTATCTCTCTCTGCAACAACAACGAACTTTCCCTATCAATGTAAGGCAACAGATATTGATCATTGCGTTTTGAGCCAAAATCGATAATAGTCAAATTCTACTATATTTATCTATATACTAGCTACTGGTATACATGTACATGTATACAAGTGTACATGTATTATATATATAAACCATCCTCTAGAATCACTATAAGTATTAAAAAAACTGTTTCAAAAGCCGTTGTGTAGTTTTAAAGATTTAAGCATACATAGGGATAGACAGCGATAGCGACATTATTTTATACTATGTAATAATGATGATGATGAGATAATTTTTCTTATATAATTCCTCGTAGTTAATAATATTTATTTACGTTTTCTTTTCTCAGAAATCTTAACAGTTTTTTAGAGTTCATGGCTTCATTGTCCAAGAGACGGCATCGGTGGCATAGTGGTTTTAAACACCGCCTTATTTGGGATGGTCAGATGGTGAAAATATATTTAAGTACTTATGTCAGTTGTCTAGTACCCATCATACAAGCTCTGTTTAACTTCGGACTAAATTTCGCAGTAAGAATTGTCTTAAGTTACTCTTGTTATTATTGTGCAAACAGCAAATTATATATATTTCATGGGTACAGAGATTGATTGAATTAAGAAATAGACAAACTTTAAAACAAAGGTTAGATAAAGGTTTTATTAAGAATATAAAAAATATATGCAAAATTACCTAAACTGCATTAAGGATTCCTTGGCCAATTGAAGTGATGTCAAATCGTTGATCGCTTTTTCTTGCTATAATGCTATAGCAATCCTTTATGCAAGAAAGTTACTTTTAAGGTTTAATTTTAAAGTGAATCTGGCCTATTATTTTTAAATAATTAAAATAAGTAAATTCTTAGTCATTATAATCAAACTAAATCAGAATAACTTAAAACATATCACAACACAAAGACTAACAAAGAGTATGTATATTCTATATATATTCTATATTGCGTCCCTATGCAATTCGATTTTATGAGTTTAATTGAGTTTTATTATATCTTTGGTAATTGCAGGTTATGGAATATAAAAGAGGTATCGGCTTATCTTAAATTCTTTAACATTGACCAACTCTTATTAAAATATTCAACTCGTTTTCATTTTAATGAAATTATAAATCCTTCCAAAAGCAATTTAAAACAATTAAGCCGCATCGACATATTCGATTAATATTGCAGCTACATAATATTATATGTGTAATACACGTTCATAACAATTTTTAAATGCATTATCTTTATTAATAATCGTATATTAATCATAAAAAAGGGTATTAATCGATTGTAATAAATAATCATCACACAGTTCTTATACCGTACTTCTAGCGCCATCATTTGATATGCTCATTGTCATTACTATTTTCTTGTCTATCATCATTAAATATTAATTACAATTGAACAAAAAAGTAAATAATGAAAATCATGGCATTGCTTCATGAAAAACATTGTTCTGTTAAATTGAGTTTTGATTTTTTTGCCAAGAAGTTTGCCATGTGTAAATTTAAAAAAAAGTTAGGCATGTAAGTTATCTACTTTCGTAGTTAAAATTTACTTGAGCGTTATATCATGGTTCTGAATAGTCAATTTGTGTGTGGTAACCCTTTATTTTTTTCAATTGTTTTTATAAAATCTCCGCTAAATTAGTGCTTTCGTATATTATATTTCCATCATTTATTATTCTTTAATTCCAAGCTATACTTCGAGTAGGCGCTCGTAGGTTAAAATTTGTGTAAAAAAAATCACGGTGACGGATACCACTTTCTATCAGGTGGGCCATTAACTTGTTGATTATTAATATATACCCATTTTAACATTATAATAAATCAATTATTCATTGTTAAAGTAACATCAACTCAACATTCTTAAGTATGTTCCGAGTGTGTGTATTAATTTTTATTTGCGATATTTGAATATTTTTTAATATTAAAATAATATCTTGAAATATTTAGATTACATAACATGCTTTAGAATTTCTTTTGTTTATTTTTCTGATACTAAAGAAGTAATTAGATCACATTATATAGGTCAATAGGCACCCTTTTACCTATCACAGAGATTGTGTAAAAATAATATCCAGATAATAATGTAAACTACATATTTTTATTATGTGTTCATGTCTTTTTCTTCTGTTTTTTCATGATTAAAATATAATTTTCTGGTGAGTATTAATTGTAATTACTTTGTATTCATAAAGTAATAAACTGTTATAAAAATATAAATGTATAATACATTTTTAGAATATAAAAATATATATTGAACATTTTATAATATTAACCCCTAAAATTTGTGATAAAAATTTCCCTCTCTAAAATTAATCATTGTTCATTATCATTACATTTGTATTATATTTCAGTTAATTCGAAAATTTAAGTTATAATGTTGTAAAGCTTTTCGGAACTTACCTCAAGTTGTCGTAACTTCGAACTGGGGAAATGCACAAACTGATACTGGTGCGCGTCTGCCGCGTTTTGTCACTGAAATGAGTGGAGCGGATAACGGCACTCATTTTATACGCTGGCCATACGCGTACCGGTTGGTGCTACGCCGCTACGCCGCGCCCAGCGTAGGCGTGCGTAGGCTTCGGCCTACGGTGTATGCGAATATACTATAATTCTTAGTACAGCAAGCGAAATGTACGAAATACCTAGCTTAATACATATAAATATTTTATTATATTTTAATAACTATAAATCTGTCTATCTTATTCTAGTATTGTAATAATATGAACCATTTTAACAAACAAATATAAAACTAAATTTTTAATATAATATTTAAAATCTTCATAATAAATTTTAAATAATTGATGTAATAGTTACTTTACCTCTAATATTCTGAAGAAAAATATAAACAGTCAAATTTATTCCAGATATTACAGTTAACTATTTAAAACTAGCATAAGTCCATTTAGCGACTTTACTCTACTGTGATTATATAATACTTAAATTATACGTATTTAAACTTAATCAAATTTTTGTCCTTAAAGATTAATTATATGAAAATGAGTGCAAGAAATTCAACACAATATATATAACTCTCCATTTTAACAAAACATATTTTTAATTAGCTGAGCATCATAATAATATTCCTCATATAGCATATATATGTATTATCAATCCTAGTCAATTTGTATAATATGAACATGAGAGTAAACTTTATATATCGCAAAAAAAGCATCGAAATTTATGTAGTTTAATAAAATATTTATCTTATTTGACAGTCCGTTATAAATACATCGCGTTATTGCTAGGATAGAAACGATTGCGAATATAAACAGCGCAAATATGTATATTTTGTGTGTTTATTATCAAAGAGACCGCAAAATATAGGTATCTACGAAAAAGTAAGTAGTGGCGACACAAAATATTATAAACGGGATGGAAACTAAAGTGAAAAGTACAGGTAGCTAGAAATTTTAAGGAAAGTTATTTATTAATTTCATGTAGGTATGTGGATAATATTCTGTAATATATTATCAGTTAGAATAAACGAGTTTTAACATAAAAACATTGTGTATTTTTCTGCTTGTTTGTACAATAATTATAATTACATATAATAATAATTTAATCACATATTTACAGTATAATTTAATACATTTAGCGCTGGTTTTTGAATTAGGGAAACCTGTGCCACGAAAGTCAACCGATTAAAATTTCTAAAGACTTTCGATCAAAGATTGTAAATAACAATTTTAAACTAGAACACTAAACTAAATAATGGTGGTATAGATAATATTGTAACTAATACTGTTGTCTAACTAATAGACCAACTTATGGGCTCGGATTCTAACAATGACAACTTCCAAGTTTTGTAGTTTTCCATTGATATTATTTTACGTAAGATAATACTTTAAAACTCGTCATGTTCTTCTGAATAACCTTAACATAAGTCGTGTTATGACTCAAACTATAGTATATCTTTCATATCTATATTTGATCAAAGTATATCATAATACTATTTGGTAATACATACCATATAATTGGTAGAATTTAACGAAACTGAACATTTCAGACTCATATTTTGTTTAAATAAATTAGTCTTGTATGGAAATGGGCATTCAAGTATTATTCAGTAAAGTTTAGATCTAAAATATATTTTAGTGTCAAAAAATATTTTAGATTTAACTTAAATGAATAATTCTTTTTACTCAATAAGACTTATTAAATATAGTCTAAGTACGTGTATGGCGTTAGTTCTACAGGCAAGGGAGCATGAATATTTTTGATATGTTATTCACATGACTAACATATTTAAACTATTCTACAAATATTCTATAGAGTATGTAATAAAATACTAATAATATTTTATACAATATGTTTTTTTTTAATATTGAACCTGATTTTAGAAAAACCATAACGTAATAAATATAAAATGTACTAGTTGAATTTAATGGCAATTTTTCACAACCGAAATAGCTACCTATATATATTTGATTCGATTTAATACTACTTTAAATAGATACATTGAATATAGTCTCAGGATCTCGAGATTTTCAATAGATCTGAATTAGCAAATAATATATGATCAAACGAACTTCTGGAGTGAAGTTCGATCAATATTATATGAGTCTTCATTCTTCAGATATACAATTATATTAACCAGGTAGTCCTTTTATCCTACATGGCAACTCGCACGATTTTTAGAGGTACAATCGATAAAGTTATCGATATACCCCCTTTTTATTTTTATTTTTATTCTTTTGTCTATCCCTGCATATTTCTCGTTTTCTGTTCATATTTTAGAGACTCAAATATAAAACTTTTCTGGGATTTGGGATGGGGGGGTGTTATATATCTGAAGAATGAAGACTCATATAATATTGATCGAACTTCACTCCAGAAGTTCGTTTGATCATATATTATATTTCGTTCTTCATTCTTCAGATATACAATTATATTAACCAGGTAGATGTTCAGAGATGAATCCTCGAAATAATTAGAAAAGTTTTATTTTTATATTAATAATAATAACAAAGGCGATTATCATTTTTGAAAGAAAATAAATATAATTTGAGAGTTATCATTAAATTATTGGTAATCACATCCTGATCTAATAAATTAAATATATAAATTGACCTTATTAATCTTATGGTTGAAAAGCAACTGTTTTTGCAAAAAGACCCTCGTCTACAATAGGTCTATTGTAAAATCTGGCGAATGTTTGAGAGGAATTAGTCCAGCCGGCTGTCTTCCTTATTACATCCAGTGAGATGCCTGCGTAGTTCGCTGTTGAAGTAGATGCATGTCGTGTGCTGTGCGCACTAAACAGTCTAACGTCCACACCACACTCTAATAATGTTTGTTTAATCCATCTACTTATGGTTTGACTTGAAGCTTTTCCATGAGGCTTTTTGTATGTGAGTAAAAGATTTTCTATTGTGTTTGATCTTAAATCCGAGGTAATATCTAGATAGTCCTCTAATGCTGTTGCAGGACAAATGTTTGGATTCTCCAAGAAATAGGGGAGAAACAAGATGGGTGGTTCTCTTCCGGCTGCAGATGTTTTAATAATGTCTGTAATTACTATTTTAAATCCTTCTGGACTCTTATTAATATTATCAACTTTGATCAGTGAAATTGTTTGTACCCTATGTGCTGTACAGAGAGCAAGTAAGGTTACTAATTTTTTTGACAGTTTCTCCAATGTAATATTTTTATTTGGAAACCAGTTAGAGATATGGCTAAAAACTACTTGGGGGTTCCATGTATTGATATATTTTGGTAACGGGGGTTTTTGTTTGTAAATACCTTTTAATAAACGTTTTATTTGATCGTCTGAACTTATATTATTCTCTAATAACAAAGACAGAGCGGATCTATGTGAATTTACCGATCCGTAGGAAGCTCCCTCTGTATATTGTTCTGCTAAAAAGATTAACACGTCCTTGTTTGAAGGGTTAAGCGTTTCAATGTTTTTTGCTGCGCAGAATTGCCACCATATTTTATATGTGACGCTATATTGTTTTAGAGTATTTTCCGCAATCGAAGAAACCATAATGTCTAGTGCGACCGACGGTGTGTTTCTTTTGATAAAGGCGAGCCGCAGAGCTTCGCGGCCCCCAGGGTAAGGCTGCGATGTAGAGGGTGCAGCTGTCTGAAACGTGATAGTAAAAGCTTCTTACTAGGTTTAAATGTAATGATTTCTGATGCTAATAGGTCTTGTAGAAGTGGAAACCAGGCTTGTCCTGGCCAGTAGGGAAAAACCAGAATGCCCGTTGCCGAATCTCTAATGATTTTTCTCAAACATTTGAGTATAAGAGAAAAAGGTGGAAAAGCATAGAAGAAGTATGAGTCCCAGTTAATAGTGAAGGCATCTACCATAAAAGCCTCTGGATCCCTTTTCCAAGATATATACTTTTGACATTTAGTGTTGGTGCGAGAGGCGAAGAGGTCTATTTCCGGGTTTCCAATAGTTATTACTATTTTTTGGAATGCCCAATCTGATAACTCCCACTCCGTGTCTAAATTTAGTTTCCTTGATTCTTCATCTGCTATAGTATTCTCCTTTGTATTAATATACGACGCGAAAAGCCAAACGTTACGTTCCTCGCACCAACACCAAATTGATTTAGCCAGATCGTTTAAATGTGGGAATTGTATGCCGCCCATTCTATTAATATAACTGATAGCTGTTGTATTATCTACGCGTAACAGTATAGAACAGTGGGACATATCGCGAGCAAAGCACTTCAAGCTCATAAATATAGCTAAGAGTTCTAAATAATTAATGTGAAACAAATATTCCTCATCTGTCCAAGAGCCGTTTACACGTGCACCATTACAGAATGCTCCCCAGCCTGTTCTAGAAGCATCAGAGAAAATTTCCATTACGAAATTTTCGTCTGGTCTCAATGTGTTGGTGGATGAAATAATATTTTTTCTCCACCATTCTAATTCTGGTAACATTGATTCTGTTAATTTTATTTGTTTATCGTAACTGTTGTGAAGTTTTAACGCTAAATATTTTTGTCTTTCTAATATTTTTGTGTAGAGCCAACCATACTTGAGCGCAGGGCAAGCAGAGACTAGAACTCCAATTAATTGAGAAAATTCTCTAATGGTGCATTTTTGTAAAGAACGGAATCTATCGATTAGATTGCTTATGTTATTTCGTTTTTCTATGGGCAGTGATATAGACATATCTACTGTGTTAAATATAAAACCTAAAAACTTGCAAGTTTGTTGCGGCCTTAAGGAGCTTTTCTCGTAATTTATTACAAAACCTAAACATTTAAGTAATTTTAATGTTTTATTTATATTATCCTGGCACTCCTCCCGAGTGTTACCTATACATAAAATGTCATCAAGGTAAATAACTGATTTAAGCCTTTGCTGTCTGAGATAGATAATTATTTCTTTCATAATTTTGGTAAAAACTCTCGGGGCTACCGAAAGGCCATACGGCATGACTTTAAACTGATATGTTTGATCGAAGATAAAACGCAAATATTTCTGATGACTTTTCTGTATAGGTATCAATAGGTACGCCTCTTTGAGATCTACTGTTGCTAAAAACCCGTTTTTAGGTATTAATTTTGCTGCTGTTCGATGATCTTCCATTTTAAAGTGTTCTTTTGGAATGAATTCGTTGAGTGGTTTTAGATTTAAGATAAATCTCTTTGTTCCGTTTGGTTTCGGAGTTAAGAAAATACTAGAAGTAAAGTCATTTTTAGTTCGTTTACAAGATGTTATGGCCCCCAATTCTAGCAATTTATCGATCGCTACCCTCATATCTGAAAATTCTTTATTTGAATTTAGTATGTTACGGGGGTGCAATTTTGGCTGATTTTCCTATTAAACGGGATTGGGTATCCATTACGTATCCATTTTAATACTACGGGATTTTTTGTAACTTTAAGCCAACAATTATAGAAATGCTGTATTCTGCCAGCATGTACCTCAATTAATGACGCGTAGGGGCACGTTGTCTCGTCTGGAATGAAGTTTTTGGTGCGTTCGAAACAGGAGCTCGGCGGTTGGTCATTACTCCCTTCTTGCCCCCCCCTCGTCCTCCTCTGTTCGATGGATAACGGGGAGGGGCCACCCAGTTTCCCTGGGAGGCCGTACGACTAGATGATTGTTGTGAAGCGGGCGTTTGGGTTTTAACTATGGGACTGGATTTTTTAATCTGTAGTCCTTGTTTTTCTATTGCCTTTGAAGCTTTTATTTTTTCAGGGAGGCTGCTTCCGAAGAGCATTTCGTCTCGGTCAACGTCCTGTATGACCTTGAGGAAGGACTTTTCCAAGCCGACTGTCACGAATTTCGTCCTAGCTTGAGTTTCAACGAAGTGTAGATCGCACAAAATGCGACAACTGTCACTTATAAGTTTTATTGCCTGGAGTTTATCTTGATCATTGTCCAGGAGAATCGACAGACCTCTGTTTAGTGCGGTTAACCCTAAAGCCAGCTGATCCTGAACTGCTTCTACTCTTTTATCCCGTCCTCTGACGGCGTCCGAGACAGCTGCAGCTATCTCTGGATTTAGCTTTGGGGCTTTAAGGAGCGTACAGTTAGCCGGGATTAAATATTGTTTCAATAATTTATCCTTTGACTCTTTGTTCAAACCTTTTTTGAGAATAGGTTGCCATAGTCGAGCTAGATTGTCGTGTATGTTTTCACCATATTTTGGTGAGTCATCCGTTGCTTCGCCTAAGGCGATTAGTATTTCGGAATCTAGTTCGGGAACTATGGTTGAATCTTGAACTGTCTCACTAGCATCTTGATTAGATGTCTCAGCTTCAGGTAGGTTTGCGGCTGTTTCTGGTGGAGTAGCAGCCGGTATTACTACCTCGCTACTGACTCGTGGCTCGTTATCTAAAAAATAACGAGAAAAATAAGTTCAGTTGTGTACAACTGAGGTAGCTTAGTGTACGTGTAATATAGCGAATATAAATATTTTTGTAATAGGCTATTACTACAATAAACTTTTTTTTTTTTTTGTGAAACCTTTAATATTATATTTTGTTTAATCATATAAGTTTGTATGACCTTTTGTGGTGACCCGCGGTCGCCCTCTAGGTGCATGATTACATATACCATCGTGTTGATCCACGATCAACCTCCCGGGAAAAGAAAAGGTAACTATTATTTCATCGTATTTAACGAAAATTAGTATGATTACTAATTAGCCCGTGTGATGACCCACGGTCAACCTCTGGGCCTTCGTAATAACGATTATTGAAATAATAATCTTGTGTAAGGTACCGTCGTGATGACCCGCAGTCAACCTCCAGGCCCATTTTACACATAGTATTGAAGTACTGCAGGTTAGCTATTAAAGTACTTCAATGTATGTACAATGTACTTAAGACTTGTACACTATAGTAATTTGAACTTTTACTAACCTGAGATTTCGTCTGAGTCTGTCGAAATTACGTTTCTCCGAATTCTCTTCCGCTTTTGTTTTTCTTCTAATTTTCTGATTTTTCGATTGTAATGTTCGATCTTCTCTTGAGCACACCTTTTCGGCATGATTATTTTTATTTTACCGAGATACTTAAGAATAGGTGCTTTCGTTGCCACGCACGAAAAAAGAATGAACAGAAAACGAGAAATATGCAGGGATAGCCAAAAGAATAAAAATAAAAATAAAAAGGGGGTATATCGATAACTTTATCGATTGTACCTCTAAAAATCGTGCGAGTTGCCATGTAGGATAAAAGGACTACCTGGTTAATATAATTGTATATCTGAAGAATGAAGAACGAAATATAATACATTGCACATTCGAATTTCTGCCAGCGTCGCGTCTTAAAATTGTTTTTTCCGATCCATTTGTTTTTCAAGGGATCTGACCATTTAGGCTTTTTATTTGTTGCAGTGCTCCTCAAACTTATACCTACGTATTACATTTTTCAAATCGCTCAAAATCTTTAATACAAATCTACACAACTGAAATACTTTTGAGAATCGCGCTATTGCGTTTTAACTGTAAAAAGGAAATAAATTAAAACAATTTATTCCTATAAATTATCAAAATATTTTATGTAGGTTTATCGTGTTTATTTGTCATGTTGTATTATTAAACTAACTCGTAAGCTATTATATATTGCTGTTTTTTTTTATTTGCGTGGTATACAATTTTTTTTATTTTATTTACATCATATCCATCCTAATGTTCATACTACATCCATCGTACAGTTCAGCTAGCTACTTTACGGAAGAAAAACTGTCAAGAGACTAATAAAAAAAACTAATAAAAAAATTACGCAGCTGGTAATTTTTTTATTAGTCTTTCAACTTTTTCGATTCATATCTACCTTGAATATATTAACCTTGCTAATGGTTTCCATTTCAATAAGATATAATAGAGATAGATTATAAAAGTTTTATAATAATTTGTTTTTAAATGCTAAATAAATATAACCAACTAAACTGTCTAATATTCTATGCAATTGCCAATAAATAAATCTCGCCTACCTTTCTCCTTTCTCTACCTCTCTATTGTAATTTTGTTGTACATGTTAATCCACAAAAAAATTACAGGAGCAAGGTACCTACTTTGCGGTACGCTGATATACCGCTCTTGAAAAGTAATTTCTACCCATACAGAGTACCAAACAACAAGACAATGATAGTTTAAAAATCAAGTAGATTAATGCCAACGAATATATATATTATCCTACTTACTTTAGTAATGGTATAAGTAAATAAAAAAATAAGATTTTACTTTTTAAATAATTTTATTTATTACTTACAAAAACTTCTTCGTAAACCCATACCATTCATTAAAATTTCCATGGAAATTTTGATATTACCGTTGTTACCAAGGCCATTGTTTGCGACTAGAAATAAGTGGGATTCACTTAAAATCCATTATCATTACTTACTTACATTAACGAAATATACGGTTTAGTTCCTTCTATAATCTTATAACATTTATTTTATCTAACTGCAATGGTAAACAAACTGATGGCTTATCTAATGGTAGTGGTAACGAATCTGTATATACAAAAACATCATCATTTCGTTCACTAAATTCATATTACAGGATAATGGTTTTGGCTTCAGTTTTTTATAACCGGCCTCCTGTCTAAGATCCTTCCTTTATCTATATATATGAACAGCAACACGAAATCACCTTATCATGGTACATACATACTTGGGGGGGGGCTAAAATGTCAATGTCTCTATATTCTGTAATTTTATTACTTTAAAATAACTTATGATTTGAAGACTGTTAACATAACTTATAGTTTGTAAATATCATTTTTGACTTACATTTTTCTAAAAGAAATCAGTCTCAGCTTCCTTTGCTTGCGACTCGATTACGCACGGGTATAATTTTTTTTTTTAAGAAATCACTATTTTTTTTTATTTTAAATGCCTCTAACGCTTGGTCACATTATAGAGTTCAATTGAAAGACTTATAAATATCTTCCTTTTATAATATTGCTCAAAAACGTATCTTCATTTGTAATATACATAACTGTAATTAAATTGCAGAAAGTCGCCTCTGCAAATAATAGAAAACGCTCTAAATGTAATTAATATAACTTTCAACAACTTTTACTATTTATAAAAGCACAGATTAGAGAATAGGTATACATAAGTAGATGATTTATCTTATAATTTCTTCGTAGGCGTAATGTAAACTACCTACTATGTATCACTCGTGAAAAAGTACTACTACCATATCGTGTGATTTGAAACCCTCGTCTATAGTTTGGGCGGACGTCAATTGTCACACTCATTGGTCGTCGGTCACTTTCCTCCCTCGATAAATAATTTATTTATTACGATAATATATTACATCTTATATGCATATATTATAACAGGTATACCAGGGGACGTTACCTAGAAAAATATGTCGTTTGGATGGAAATGTGCAAACTAAGTTTTTAGCATAGGAAGTTCACATTGTTTGCATTGATTTATTTTAAAAGTTAGGTTCGAATATGCTGGCCTACCCCTCGCTTAGAACTTGTTAATAATCATTAGAGGTGGTTTTGTTACTATCTCTTCTAAAAGTATGTAATTAACTCAATTGTTGTGTAAATATATTTATTGTTTTAAATTAATAAATGAAAAAACAAAATGACCTGCTTCCGTGTGCATCGGTACATGATAATTAATTATTATCAACTAATATCACAACACAACTACTTAATTAATTAAATAAAACAAAAATGTAACTTTCTTGATATTTTTGTTTTTTGTATTAGTGCAGAGTTTATGGAATTCTTACGTACCTATATATTTTTTTTCTTAAAGTATGCTTCGATTCGGCTAAAATGTTTGTTATCTTTTTCATAAAAACGTGGAATATATAGTAAGAAAATTTGGCTATTAAACTTTCGAGGATTTTCTTAATTTAAAATAATCAGGCAATCGCTAGGCATATCGGATTTTTATGTAATTGGTATGGCAAACTGATGGCCCAACATAGCTTCTCTAAGCGGTAACCGTTGCAATTATTATGCGATGCCTGTGATACCCCTTATGTGACCATTCCGAGGACTAAGATATCTTCTACCTCTTATTCTGTCATTTCACTGTCTAGTCTACATTATAAACCAATAACGCCTTAGAAGGCAAGCTGCTTGGCCGCTAAAATAGATGAGACACATTTTATTATAGTAAGCTAATAAAATGCTTTTTTATAATAAATTATTTTAAGAAATTAAGTTGCAACTCCATGTACCTAATAAGTAAACTATTAGGTACTAAAGTTTATTAAAAGTCTCTTATACTCGGAAATCCGTTCAACAGGAAACCTATGCAGTACCTAACGGTAACTAATAAAAATAAAAGTTCAGCAAAATGCGTGTTTAGAAAATAACTCGTACGAACTTTGATATGGCAAATAAATTGCTTCAATTTTTCTACTGAAACCGTGCAATTGCAGAGGAATTTTCCCATCAGTTTTTGTCTTCATATATTTATACAAAAATTTTATAACTGCCTCATAGTGTTATATAAATAAAAAAGTTATATTTTTAGAAATAAAAATATAATAAACTAGCAGTGCCCGCGGTTTCACCCGCGTTAAATTTCAATATAAAATATAGCCTATGTGTAATAATATGTGTGATGCATAAGGTTTTGCGTGAAAGAGTCAAATATCCATACTTACAAACTTTCGCGTTTATAATATAATTAAGATAATAAATTAACTGATAATTGTCATTCTTGGTTATTGTATTATTAATATAATACAATAACCAAGAATGACAATTATTTTTTTTCTATATACTATAGTAATCTATAGTATATAGATAAAAATCTGCACATTATTTTGGGCAGAGCACAATACATTAAAAGTAGTCCTTTACTGTAATGTGATTATTTCTTCTTCTCCTCCGACATAATGCGAAAGAAGGAAAAGGAGAGCGTCGTGGCCATTAGGCCACGTGATCGGATCAAGCCAACAAATCTATACATATAAATAAAATTGGAGTATCTGTTTGTAACATTGAAATAACCGTTTTTTACTACATACACATGAATACATATTTATATTCATATGCATGTAATAAAAAACGGTACATACACCAAAATAACATTTTTTACAATTTTTGTCTGTCTGACTGTTTGCTCCTTCTAATATTTGAAATTGCTGGACCGAATTTGTCTGAAGTTTTTTTGGCAGATAGCTTATTACATCAATAAGGAGTAACTTAGGCTGCTTTTATATTAGAACAATTCTTTTATTCACATAAAAAAACGGTAAATTCCATGCGGAAGGAATAAATATAAATTCATTTTGATATCCTTGCTGCCTAGCTTGAGGACTATGTGTTCTTACCTTTTAAACTGAAATATTACAAAGCTAACAAATGGGACAGAGATACCCACGCTAACGATTTTATACAAATCGTACATCGAATATGAAAGTTTCTGAATACCTTTTTGGTTTAATAGATAATAATCAGTGTCATAGATAAAAAATATTAAGTTGCCAAGGATTGTTATCAAATATCTAGATCCACATTTTCGTTGACCTTTCGTCGAGACTGGCACCACTCAGGCGGGCAAAGGCAGTGTGTTGTCTGTCACGAGAGAAGAGGCGCAATTAAAAGTGGCACAAATGCGGACTAATGCAAATAATTAAATTAGATAAATAACCTAAAAAATTGTTCTTGGAATTTTCAGTCCAAATTTGAAAATACTAATCTTCGATATATACAAATATCAATTTTTGAATATAAACGGTACTTCATCGAATAAAAATAATACCTTCTTAGGTATTATTTTGTTAGATATGTTTATCTAATCTGGCTACTACCTAATATTATTTATTACCTAACATATTTAATAGAAAATGTATGAAAAAATTTAACTATACCATGTTATATTTTTTCAAACGTTTTCTATCATCCTAACATTATAAAATTAAATATGTTAGTTATTATTTTTTAAGAAATGCTTTTTTATATTTAGCAATTGGTATTTATATGTGTAGAAGAATCAAGAAGGTTCTGAGAGAGAGAGAGAGAGAGAGAGACAGAGAGAGAGAAGATTCAAGAATC